ACACGAACAGGCCCCATTAGCGCTTGTCACAATTTTTCTATCTTGTTTCTAGGACGTCTCATCTGATAGAGCACCATCGAATTAGTAGGGCCGTATAGGTCTGAAGGTTTAAAAGTTCATTTTTTAGTCTAGATTGGCGCCAAAGTGGCCAAACCTGGAAAATTATCTCGATTGAAACTGACTGAACGTTACTGAACCAAATTGGCTAAAAATTTGTGAAAATCCAAGTTTGGGGATGCTGATCATTTCTCTAATACATCGGAAAGCACGAAAATGAGCGAAACAGAGTTAAATCGCGTGCTCAAAACAATTTTTTTAGGGTTTTTTGATTTACGGATTCTTGGCGACTCGCTGGGAATAGCCTTGACAGATGCGAAAAAATTCTACGTCGAATGATGTGTTTTATACAGCGCCCGCAGAAGCCCTGCTCTTGCTATAAGCATTTACCGGGCGCAAAACAGCTCCCCCCAAACTGCGCCAAAACCTCATAAATTGAGAATTTTCAAATCGTATCCAGCGGCCGAGCTCCCAAAATGGCGAAAAGAAATAAGGTTTCGGACGGATTCTCTTTTTACTGTACTGGTTGTCGGTCTCTCTCTCATTCTCTCTGTCTCTCTCTCTCTCTCTCTCTCTCTCTCTCTCTCTCTCTCGATTTCATAATACCCTCATCAGCTCTCATCAACGGCCATTTTCTGCGTCTATGCTCAAAAGCCAGTCTTGTTGCTCCTTCTCTCCGGCTTCCCTTCCCCTCTTGGCCCCTTTCAAATGTAATGGGCCAGCCGAGACGACGAAAGAAATAGGAGGGCAATGGAAGAGAGGGCAGAAAAATAATGGGGAGAGAGACAGACAGAGCGAGAGAGTGAGAGACAGAAGAGAGGGCAGAGGGCTGCAAAGGGCCATCACTCGCTCCCACGGCTCTTCGAATAGAAGAAGAGGGGAAGGATGGGGTCTCTCTCTCTCTCTTTCTTTCTCTCTCTCTCTCTTTCTCTCTCTGTCCCTCTCTCCCTCGCTCTCTTGCCTCAATCCTCCAAAACCCCCCGGCGGGCTGCAAAAAACGGCCGGCAGACAGATGGACTGGTAGACAGACAGACAGTTGGAGAGAGCGAGGTAGCGAGAGAGAGAGCCAGAGAGAGAGCGAGAGAAAGAGAGAGAGAAAGAGAGAGATACAGACTGTTGCGACGAAATGCGGCGTACCACTCGGAAAAAGGCGCCCGCCCAAAAAAGGCAAACAGCGAGTGGGGGAAAAGCCGTTCGTCTAGCCACCCAACCGAGCAATTAAGCCGTTCCCACGATTCGGGCAGTCTAGCAGAGATTATTTAGGAAAAACTTCCATTTTCACGAAAATTTACGACTAAAATTGGTAAAAACGCTCCAAAATTACGATACGGTAGGCTAGCAGAGACGTTTAGGGAACCAAGAATCGCTAGGATAGATAGCTTGACTGCCAGCTGGCAGAGATCCCTGGGGAATTCTCAAAAAATTACTCGAATGGCATGCTAGCAGCGATTTCTGCGGAATTGGCGCGGTGCCAGATGGAAGAAAATCGCAGATTAAGTTATTAAAGGTATCGGGAGTCACGATCCGAGGCTGAGTCTCTTTGAGAAGCCTAGAATCGGGTCTTGGCAGCTTGCCAAAGTCGCAAAAAAAACGGTTTTTGCCTTCCAGTTCCCTTTAAAACACCAGATTCAGTTTCGACGATCTCGTACCGGGCAGCGTAGCAGGGATTCTTTGAGGACGGCGACCGATCGGGGCTTTTCGCGCATCAGAAATACCGTACTTTCGCCAAAAAAAAACGGATTTTTTCGTTCTGCGATACCGCACGTCCTGTTTCTGAGGTATGGGCAGGTAGGCTAGCAGAGATTCTTGGAGAATGGCGTCCAGTCAAGGTTTTCGCGATTCAAAAGTACCGTATCTTCTTCATGGATACCGGTTTTGCGATGATTCATACCGTATCCAGCCATCCTTTTCAAAAAAAGCCCCCCAAAATGGGGCGTTTTCCGCGACCCGGAGTACCGTATGTTCCTCAAAAATTTGGTTTTTGCGTCAAATTTTTGCAAAAAATGCCCATTTTCCGGAATTCGGCCTTACAGTAGATCTCGAAAATCATGTTTTTCGCTAATTCATACCATAGCGCGGAGTTTTCCAATAAAAAACACCCAAAAAGCGCGAAAAGTCCATTTTTGCGATACAAAAATACAGTATCACCTTTGGAAATCCAATTTCCCCCGATTATTCATACCGTACACAGCAGGTTTTATATCAAAAACTGTCAAAAGGGGCATTTTTCGCGATAGAAAATTACCGTATGATCTGGAAAATCGAATTTTCCGGGTTATTCATACCGTACACAGCTGGTTTTCTATAAAAAAAAACTGTCAAAAGGGGCACTTTTCGCGATTGAAAATTACCGTATTATCTGGAAAATCTAATTTTCCGGGTTATTCACACCATACAAAGCGATTTTTCTACAAAAAAAAAAACCCCAAAAAGGCGCAGTTTCCGGGATAGAGACTTACCGGGAAATCTCAATTTCGGGTTCTTCTGACCATAGGTCACATTTTTTTTTGCAAAAATCGGGTAAAAGGGCATTTTCACGATGGAGACACCTACCGTATCGTCTTCAAAATCGCCTTTTCCCGGATTATTCGTACCGTACCCGCCAGGTTTTCTACAAAAAAATAGATACGCCATCCTCTTGGAAAATCCGAGTATTAGGTTTTGGCGATTTATACCGTACCATCCCATGTTTTTTTTTGCAAGAAATCCCCGAAAAAGGGCGGCATTTTGGGGGTGTTAGAACTATCCATCCATGGCCAGCCATCACCCCCCACACACACTCACCCTGCAAATTGTCTACCAAAGAGACAGAGCGAGAGAGAGAGAGAGAGAGAACGAGAGAGAGAGAGAAAGACAGAAAGAGAGAGACAGACAGAGAGAGAGAGAGCAGAGAGAGAGAGAGAGAGAGAGAGAGAGAGAGAGAGAGAGAGAGAGAGAGAGAGAGAGAGACAGAAAGAAAGACTAGGCTCGAGTGATATTTTGGGGGGAGCGGCGAGAGATCCGCAGACCATAGAGAGGGCAGACACACATAGAAATAGCACCGAAATGAGGAGACCCAGCCCCTAGACGAGAGAGCATGAGCATCGAGAGAGAGCACGAGACAGGGCGAGAGAGTGGAGAGAGACAGGAGAGGGGCGAGAGACCCCGGGCCGAGGGCGCGGCCCCAAAAAAGAGGGGGGCGCTCGATGCGGGTGTGGAGAACGGATGGGGCGAGAGAGCATGGAGAGGGGAGAGACAGCAGGGAGGGCGAGAGAAAGAGACAGAGAGAGGCACCTGCACACCAGTATCCCCCCTCTCTACGTGCCTCCTCCCATCACAAAACCCACCAAAAGCCCCGCGAGAATCTACCATTTTTAGGGCGCAATTTATTGGCTGGCTGCCAGTTTGAGGCTTTCTAACGTTTTTACGGCCCTATCACGCATTTTGACCCTTTTCACCCCCTTTTCCACCCAATTCCATGCGTCGCCGCCGCCCCCCAAATATTGATAGTCATCTACCGACGCGCCGTCGTCGTGCCCCGGCTGCTGTGGTGGCGAACCCCTTGATTTTGTGTCAATATTATTGCCCACCCCGAAATGCCACCGGAAATCGACGGTTTTGAACCCGATTTTTAAAGATTTCCCGTCGATAAAGACGACATTCCGGCCCTCAACTTTGCCATTACATGTGCTAATCGAATAATTCGGCGTGCTGCTAACCAGTTTACCTTTTTGTATGATTTCTAGAGAAAAACACACGGATTTCCGCGAAGTAACTTTAACTTTAACGCAAAATCCAATTTTATGGCTTTTTCCGGCTAAAAACCTCCAAAAACCAGCGAATCCTGCGTAATCAGGGAGCGCGATCTGCGTGTTGTTGTTGGTTTCCGCGGGGTAAACACGCTGCGTTTTGTGCGCATCTTTTTGCTTATGATTTTCTCGCGAAATGCAACACGGCGCGCCGGCCAGCGTGGGAAATCACCAAATATTATGCATGCGTCACTCGGGAGGGGCCCAAAATGATCGTTGTCTGTCAGAAAGGACATTTACAATGGTGGGAGAAGTAGAAGTAAAAGTTAAACTTTTAAAAAAGAATAAAAACGCGATTTTTAGATCAAAAGGTCCGAATTACAGCGCTACACAGGAATACAACCTACGCTTTTTGTCATTTGTTGTAGCACGGAGTTGTATCCCAAGTTTTTGATTTTTTTTGGGAAAATCTAAATTTTGGGAAAGAAAAGAACTTTACGACTTGGTTTTAAATTTCGTTTATTGTCTGGCCCCTATTTTGGCACCTTTTCCGATTGATAATGAATTTCTGACCGCACTATCTGCAAAATCTCGATTAATTTGTTCGATAATTGTTCGAAAAACGTTTATTTCGGAATTTTTCACGTTTTATACAGCCTTTTGTGACTAAAAATGAATTTCTGGTCACCGAATACTCAAAATCTCCATCGTTCTTTACGAAAAATTAGCCCTAGGTGCCTCATTTTGGATGTTTTGGCTCGATATCACCGTTTTATCCCGCTTTTCTCGCTCCCGTCGAATTCCTTGCCGCAAAAAAGCTCTATTTTTGACAGGCAAAAGTTATGAATTCGATGTTGATGTGCCGATGACTATGTCATCCCTTTCGGCGCCCTTTTTCGACAGTTTTGCCCCCGGTTTCCGGGCTGATCTGCCTTCTGCTCTGCTATTCAGGATCAATTTTACAATCTCCACGTTTTGGTGGCACCCCTAGTTTTTTTTTGTGCTGGCGCCAAGCGGCCCTCTTTCTTTTCTTTGCGGCCTGGCTCATTCCGGCGGGCCGGGCCGGGAATCGCCCCCCTCTTCAGCAATTTTATCAATTCAATGTGTGTTTTCAGGTGATTGTTGCGGCTGCTGTGCCCCGGGTCGTCCGGATGACTGAAACCGGTCTCTAGGACTGTAGGTTTTCTTTTTAAACTTTATTTTTTCGGTTTTTAGATGTCGTCAGAGAAGATCAATGGGACCAGCGCTGCACAGTCGTCACCCGGGTTGCCACCACTGCCGCCGGATAAGGTTTGTTCGCTTTGAAAGTCTTTCCATGATTCTGAGAAATTCTCCAAACTTTTTTCCGGGTTTGTTGGTTCTTACGCATTATCGGGGGAGGCCAGCTTTTAAAAGGATCAGATTTTTCTAATATACTGTTTTTACTATGTCTAACCGTAAAATCTTTTGAAATTGCGGTTAAAAATAAAAAAAAAAGAGATTTTTCGCCCAAAAAGAGCCAATTTTCGTCCAAAATTTAAACTGAAAGTTTTTCTAGTTCTTTTTGATCGTTTTTCCGGTTGAAAGAGGGTTGAATTCTACTTAAAACACTGTGAAAACACTTAATTTTACGTTCTTAGTTATTTCCAAATTTGTAGAAACGATTTTGGCCGCTTTAAATAGATATTTTTATTTTTCTAAAAATGAAAAGTATGATAATTTTAATAGAGACCCCAGTTTTTGTAACGTCTTTTCATAGATTGCTGTAAGAAGGGGATAAAAAGCCGGCAACCTGTCAAAACTTCTGCAAATTTAGACGCCCAATGAAACAGATTTTTCAGGACAAGCAGCGCGTCGATCGACGTCGCGCTTTTGTGAAGAGGGTCGAAGCCCCGCCACCTCCACCCCCAGCACCTCCTGCTGACCCCAATCAGCCGTGAGTTTCGATGGAACCTGTGCAAGGAGTCGGCTTCCTTCGGCTATCGCTGGCTTCTGGCTGCTCGTGCTCTCCTTTTTTTGGAGCTCATGACGTTTTTTGGCTTTCTTGAAAGCCCTCTCTGGCTTCTCGTCCTTCTAGTCGGCCATTAGCTCTAAATCTAAATTTTCACAGCTTTCAGGTTGGCTCATTTTCCTGAGAGTACATTTTTATCGGTTCAATCTGCTCCCGCGGTTTCGCGGTCTTTTCCGGACAATTTTTGGCTTGAGATCGTGCTTTACGGCCAATTTTAGCACTAGAGAAAGCTCTGTCTTATTTTTTTCTACTCGAAGCTCTACCTCTCTAAACGCTGTCAAGCATTTTACACACCTCTCCTTCCTCGACCTCAAGAGCTCTGGCTTTTCCTGATTTTTCTCGATTTTTGGATCGCGTATTTGATGCCTTTCTAAGGTTTTTATAACTTCCCTGACGTTTCAAGCTATTTTTCTAGTCCGTGTTGACGTAGAAAGCTTTTCTGGGGGGTTAGATGAGCCCATATTTGGCTGTTTAGAAGTAGCTCTAGCATAACTTCCTGTATTTTGAGAATTCAGGTCCATTTTCCTGGCCTCGATCAGATTGGATTCACGTTTTTCCTCGATTTGTCGATTTTTAGGACCGTTCCTCTGTGTCGATTTTGAAACTTGTTCCTCTTTCCGGAAGTGCGGTGTTGGATCATCTACTGACATTCTAACTTTTTCCGTTTTATTGATGCCCCAGAGTTTCCAGACTTTTTTCCAGACCGTTTTTAGGCTGCAACTTTTTTTTATACCTTCGGCCAGCCTTGGCACTCTAGAAAAAGCTCTATTAAAGGCTCGTCTACACTGAAAACCCCACAAATAACCGATTATTAGCCATTTATGGTCCCAAAATTCTTAATCATAGCCATTCTTCGACATTTTCGTAGTTACGCTCTTTTTCTATGCCGCTCTAATCGATGGGATTTTTAATGCTATTCTCCCCATAGATCAGGTAAAATACCGTTCACGTTGCTCCTCGACTTCCCCCGATCGCCAACAGCTATGAGAGCGATTGTCCACTGCTGGTTGTATTACCACCACTCACTCCCTCTCCTCCTCCTTCTCCTCCTCCTCCTCTTCTCCTCCCCGCCAGAATTATAGGCCCAACGGATTTGCATTTGATTTGGCTGGGCGGACCGTCGTTTCTCTTCACCAAATTCCACCGATTTTCTACCGGTGGCGTTTGACCGCTTTTAGTGGACCGTTTCCGGTCGAGAATTTGGCCTGATTTCAGGCTGGCAAAAAGTTTATCGAAAATTTCCTTGACAAAATACCCGCCATCTAATTTTTCCTTTCGATTCAAAAAGCTTTTTCCAAGCTCTTTTCTCATTCAGCCGACTCAAATTTGGATTTCAAGGTTCTGACAGGCTCAAATTTTGAGTTTTCCGATTTTTGAAGCGCAAAAAGCGTAGCGACAAGCTCTGGGTCTAATTTTTTTAGGCTTTTTCGAGCTTTTTTCTAAGTTAGCCGGATAAAATCGCGATTACGACTTTCAGACAGGCTCGAATTTTCAGTTTTCCGTTTTTTTAAAAATTTATTTTTGATCGTATCGACAAATTGTATTTTGGGTCTAGTTTTTTTGAGGCTGTTCCGAGCATTTTTCTAAGTTAGCCGGGTAAAATAGGGATTTCTAGTTACTGATAGGCGGAATTTTCACTTTTCCTCTTTTCAAGTTATTTTCGATCTAAAACGAGCGAAAATCGTATCGACAAATTCTCTTCTTGATCTAATTTTTTTATCCTTTTTCACGCTCTTGTCTACGTTAGCCGGGTTAAATTTGGAATTCTTATTTTTTTTATGACCCATATTTTAGCTCTTTTCATGTTCTTAGATCTATTTTCGGTTTTTCAGGAGCAAAAAGCTTATGAATATTGTTATTAACAACATTTTTTCTAGCAGAACCATTTTCTAAGATTTCTATAGATTTTTGAAGCAATCAAAAATTGTACAAAGATAATAGACAGCTAGCTTGTTCTCGATTTTTAGCATACCAGTTTTCACTCACTCCATTTTCTATTTCTTTTAAAAATTTTGAAGAGTAATTCCAGCCTCTCCCCGCGCTCAAACCCCCATTCTTTTATGAGCTCGCGCAGCAATGGACACAGGTACCCCACGGCGGCTCTTTTTCTCTGACAGCTAGACCGAGATCCCCCTCTGATTTCAGTAGTGATAACCCCCACGATCCGGCGAATATGCGCTTGGTGCGGATTGCACGGAAAGTCGGGTACTGTGCAGAAGAATTGTGCTAAAACTTACACAACCGTTTTACCGCACCATTTTTGGTTGATTTTAGTTGTTTCCGGCTGCATAATTGAGTTTAATGTAGTTCTTATTTTCTCAGCTAGCAGCACTTCTTTGTCTGTTTTCTCAGTTTTATTGGTTCGGGTTGCTCCCGGTATACGGTACCCGCCCAAAAACCATTTTTTTTTTGTAGTCAATTCTATAAATAAAGGTAAAAAAGGGTTTTTTATCTTTTTCCGGATTTTTTTGATGTTTTAAACTCGATTTGATTAAGTTTTCAATTCAGGCTTTAAGCTCGTTTTTTAACCATCTTATTTTTGTTGGGAAATTCGACTGGGAGGAAATTTGCTACTTTTTCGGCATTTTTTTTGGAAAGAAGCCTATTTTTTTCAACGTATAAAATCTATCGAGATGGCCGTCCATCAGATTTTTAGCCCAATTCGAGGCCCGTGCTGAGCCGGCTGATTTTTGCGGCCGTTTTTCGGCTTCGGAGTCGTTGAATTGTGTCAATTTGACTGTTCCCACCGATGGATTCATGAAATCTTGCCGATTCTCAGCCTCAGTCTGTGCGAGTAGTGGTGTTTTGTTTGTTCAGTCTGCTGGTAGTTGAAAAAGAATGGAGGAGACTCACTCACGTGTCTCCCTCTCTCTCTCTCTCTCTCTCTCTCTCTCTCTCGCTTCTGTGTTGCGCCAATCGGGGGGAGCCTCAGTCAGCTGATAGTTGAGCCACCAGGGCCATAGTCGCACACAGCGATCGGCGCATGTGAACGGGCATGAGGGGAAGGGGGAAGCAACGCCGGATCTGCCCAGGGAAAAGCCGTATGAAAATAAAATACAAATTGACAAATTAAAATAATCCCCACTTTTCTGCTTTTCAGCTTTGGGCATCTAGAAAAATTCGACGCACGGAAAATTGGCGAAAAGCTGAATTTATTAGCTAATAATTTACGGAATTTAGATTTAGAAGCGCTTTCTGAAATTTCTACGTTTTTCAAGATCAGCGATGGACCGAGAGGAAAAAACGTCTCAGTTTTTGTGGCTTTTGGCCAGCGAAATTCAGCATACGAAAAATTCTATAAAATGTGATTTTATCAGCTATCACGAAATTGGATTCATTTTTGTCCTTTTCTGTCTTTCTGTGACGATTGAATAAAATCGGAAACTCCGGCTGACCGCGTGAAAATAAAATAAAAACTTTTTTCTGTTTATTTTCGGCCGGGTAGCAAAGTTCGGCAAACGAAAAACGGGAGAAATGGTTGATTTGCCGGTCAATAATCGAAAAAAATTAAATGTCGAATTATTTCTAGGATTTTCTTGAATTTCCCGGCCATTTTAAAAACGAGGGCATTGATTTTTAATTGCTAAATCAACTATTTTTTTTCTCGTCGAATCAACAAGATTTTTAGGGGAAATTTTCGGTTATAGGAGAAATTTAAAACGGTCCGAAATCCCGATAAATCGTCAAATCAGCCCTGCTGCCAAGATATTCCTTATTTTCCTTGTTTTCTTGCTGATTCTTGGCTTTTCCTAACCGCCTCCTCAAAACGCAGCAGCCAGAGCTAGCGAAAACCGCTGGAAAATATTTTTTTTTTACGTCGAAAAATTATCTAATTTAATTTCTTTTTTTCCAGAGTGGGCAGCAATTGGCTGTCGAAGGAGGAGCGGTATCGACTGCAAGCCGTTCAGGATGACTGGCGACAGAGCAGACCCATCTATAAGGTTAGCCATCGTCTTTGCAACTTTATTAAACCTTTTGCAGTTTGGCCAGAACATCCACCTGAAGGAGAGCCCGGCGAAAGAAGACCGAGTCGGCGGCGCGGCCTCCACCCTCAGCCAATCCCCACAAGCCGCCAGCATCTTTGATAGGAATCGGTAATTACCGTTTTCGAGACGGTGAAATTCAATATTTAATTTTGGAAAAAATTCCTAGCAACAACTATCAATCCTTCGAATTTCACCTGTGCAAGATTTTCTGGATGTTTTTAATTTTTGAAAAACAATTTAGATTCTTAAAAATTCGGGAATTTTATGAGAAAATCCATTTTTGCCACGGTTTCGTTGCCATATTTGGATTTTTCTCTAGGATTCGATTTTTCCAATATAAAGGGTAGATTTGGCGTTAAGCCGTTTGTCTGTCATTCCTAAACGTAAAAATTATACAAATTTTGATCAAAATATACCAAAAATATCGAATTCTCGCCCAAACTGGGCCAATGTTCGACCAAAATTACGGCTAAAGTCCCCCTTCCCCCCCGATAATGCAAAAGGACCATTTCCAGGCTTTTTTGGGTCCCAAGGCGTTTCGTTCGGTTCGATATCGCGTTCAGAACCAGTTTTTTGGCTCTGAAAAAATTGCTCAGCGGTTACGGTTGGCCCTAGTTTAACTTTGAAGTGTCGATTTTTCCCCTTTTTAGCCCGGCCCCTGCGAAATGTGCGCCTCTTTTCTATTGGCTCAGAAACAGCTGATAATTCAAAATTATTCAGAAAATTAACGATCTTGTGAGAAAAAGTAGACTCACTTTTTTCCAATCTGTCAGTCGGTGTTTATAAATATTTTCGGAATTTTTCCATCTTCAGGTTGGAGGAGTTTTCCATCCTACAGGGCAAGGTTGATGTCCTTTTGGATGTGTAGATTGTGCGTCTGTGTGTCTGTCTGTCTGTCTGTCTGTCTCCCCAAAAACCGTCGAATCGACCGAGCGATCCGTCTGTGAGTGTGTGTGGGGTAAAAGGACTGTTTTGGTGTTATGCCCTCTACCCTTCCTGCCTGCCTGCTGTTGCCCTCTTTCGTCTCCCCCCCCCTTTTTTTTTTCGTTTCGATAATACCCGGACAACCCGGATTTGTTGAGGGCCGCATTCTCCCCTAGGTTTTTTTACTGAATTCCCGTATATTATTGGCTAAATAGAAATTTATTTACTATTTTCTATTATTTCCGAATCCGTTAAAATATTGGCTATTTGATGGGATGCCCCAGATTCTCCATCAACGATTCCACGCCCTCCACGGGCCCATCTTCAAGCGATTACCCCCTTTCCCCGCACATCGCCATAGGCACAGGTGAAATTCGGGCGGATTTCTGGTTGTAGCTAGCTCAAAAAAAATCGCATTTTTAGGCCAGTTTAGAGAGTTTTCAAAATAAAACATTTTCCCTCTGTCACCTCGGAGATGTGTCCGTTTTTCAACGATTTTTATCACTAATCGAAAACTCTTGTCGAGGCGTAAATTGCGTCACTTTTCAGTAGATTTATTAAGTTTTTTTTTGAGAAATGGGCTGCGGTTTCGATGTTTTTGCAATCAAGGATCTTGAAAACCACAATTTACGATTTTCGATTCGTTTCGCGTTGTTGAAAACCGCGAAATTCATCACAAATTAGCAGAATTGCGTGAACCGGATTTTTTTAAAATCGCTGATTGCAAAGGAATTCGCAGTCTCGCAAAAAAAAATCTTTAAATCTCCCAAAAGGTTTCGCAATTTAGAAAATCAGGGTGTTCGCCGCTTCGAGGGCTTTCGACTGGTGTCTAAATCCTAAAAATCGAACACTCCTACGCGTCGCTGGGTGTCTTTTCCGGAAAAAGTACCCTCTAAACCAATTTTAATTTATTTTTAATCGACGATTTTCAGGACAACCCCGAAGGCCTCCCCCGGAGATGAGGAGAAACGAAGGAGTGGCGTGGCAAAAGATGAAGCATCCCCAGGCTCTCAACCATCCACATCTACTGCCCTACCGCCTGAAGAGGACGTACCGAAGGATGACGATGAGGTAGAGAAAATACCGTACTTCTGAAAAATTCTTTTGCAGAAGAACAAACTGGTGGTGGACGAGGAGAAGGCGGCGGAAGCCCTCGATCCCGACGAATTTGACGCCCAGGAGAAGCCGATCGATCGAAGCCCGGGTACGCTCAATTTTCGAGGCTCTCTATCGAATGCTTTGCCTTTAGAGGGGCGATTCCTGAAATTCGACGAAGAGCTGGGGCGCGGCTCGTTCAAGACGGTGTTTCGCGGGCTCGACACGGAGACTGGGGTCGCTGTCGCTTGGTGTGAACTGCAGGACAGCAAACTCACCAAGGTAACGCGGGTTCCTGATTTCCATCCGGGTTTTTTTTTGTAAAACCGGAAAAGATTTTTTTAAACTTAGAATCTCGGGAACTCGGATTTCCCGAAAATCAAGCCATATTTTCGAAAATCACCAGAAAAGATGCGTCAAGAGTATTAAAAGCTAACAAGTTGCAGAAAAAAAATAGCGCGGCAATTTTTTCGCGAAAATGGTCATCTGCCGGGATTTTTGAATATTTTTGGTACTGTGCTGTTAGCGGGGGGGTAGCAGTGAGGAAACCAAATTTTTCTAATTCTTCTAATTTTCTCGTTTTTCAGTCGGAACGGCAACGGTTCCGCGAAGAAGCGGAAATGCTGAAGGGTCTCCAACACCCGAATATCGTCCGCTTCTACGACTACTGGGAACGCAGCGAGAACACGGCCAAACGGAAATACATTGTGCTGGTGACCGAGTTGATGACGTCGGGCACGCTGAAGATGTACCTCAAACGTTTCAAGCGCATCAACATCAAGGTATATCGATTCTTGGGTGGATCCGTGTTAATTCGCTCCTGTTTTCAAAGTGTCGAAATTTCAGAATGCCGAAATGTCGAATTTCATAATATCGGATGATTTTCCGGGAGATTCTTTCAAACAAAATTCGAAATTTTGAAAGTGCGACCTTATGAAAACCCGATTTTACGAAAATTCGATATTTTAAAAATGCTACATTCAGATAGAAAATCGCCAATTGGTGCCTTTTTAGGTGCTGAAATCGTGGTGTCGTCAGGTGTTGAAGGGACTCTCGTTTCTCCATTCTCGAAATCCCCCGGTGATCCATCGAGATCTGAAATGTGACAACATCTTCATCACGGGCACCACCGGCAGTGTCAAGATTGGCGATCTCGGGTTGGCCACGCTGAAGAACAAGAGCTACGCAAAGAGTGTCATTGGTACGTTTGATCAGGAATTTCTTTTGGCGGTTTTCATGGGCTAGGAAGTTAAAATTTGAGTGTTTTGGAGGCGAATCCACAAAAAAAAAATGGTTGTGTACGGCCTAAAATTAGCGTATTTTGTTGCGAAAAACGCCAAATATTACACGCGCGGGATTTACACGTCGTAATGAGTTCTAGGCCTCAATTGGTTCGACTCGGTCATTTTGCAAATAAAAAGCCGGAATGATTCAAAGGTTCTTCTTCTTTAACGGGGGGGGGGGGCGGCCAATTTATATTTTTCCACCTTTTCCTTACCTGTTAATAATAAATCGTCTATTTGTACAATTCGTAGTTTTTGATTGCTAGAAAGTTATCAAAATATTTAAGCATTTTTTGACAATTCGAAAATTCAGACAATTTTTTTTTGTCATTTTTCATAGATTTTCGACGGGTTATTTGATGGGCTTTTTTTATCTAAAAACTGTTTGAAATGCTATAAAAAATGGCTTGAATTGCGTTATGACTTGGTAGAAAACAACCGATTCAGATTTTCGATTTTCTCTAGCAGTTATTTTTGTGGATTTTTTCCTGCTTTTTAGCGACATTTTTTACTTCCAGGAACGCCGGAATTCATGGCCCCCGAAATGTACGAGGAACAATACGACGAATCGGTGGACATTTATGCCTTTGGGATGTGTCTGCTGGAGATGGTGACCGGGGAATATCCATATTCCGAATGCCAATTCCCCGCTCAAATCTACCGCAAAGTCACTACGGTATGGATGTTTTGTACAGGCTTTCCCAATAAAAAAATCCTTCTCCAACTCGACGCAGAAGGACGCGATGAGAATGATAGTTATACCTATCGAAAGCCCTTGAAACGGCGAGTGTGCAACAACCATCAAAACTATATTTTTATTTAAACGCGCTATTTTACAAGCCATTTTGTAAATTTTGTGGTTTTTTGGGGTTGCATCCGAGCTAATTTGCCTCAATTTCTCCTTACAAAATGGCTGGAAGTAGCCGTTAATTAGAGCTCGTCTGCAACCTCCAAAAACCGCAAAATTCTACAAAATGGCTTGAAAAATCACGTATTTAAATAGAAACATGGTTTTTTTGTTGCAAACTCGCCGTTTCAAGGGCTTTCGAATGGTGTAACCGATCTCCGATCCGATATTTCTGCGTCGGGTTAGAGAGTTTTTTATTGTGCTACTGTTTATTTTAATTTTTCTTTCTAGGGTACAAAACCGGAGTGCTTCAATCGAATCCCGCAGACCTATCCGGAAATCCGGGACATTATCGATCGCTGCATCCGGTTACGACGGGAAGAGCGGTGTACGGTATGCTCGACGCCTTTTATGCCATTTTTTGTGGGTTTTTTAGGTGAAACAACTCCTCAACGACGATTTCTTTTTGCCGGATGAGTTGCTGGGAGTTCGGGTCGAGCTCAAGAATCGGGACGTCGATTTGGCCGAGAATAACCAGGAGGTTTGTGCCTTTTTGAAGGTCGCTCCTCGTTTTGCAAAAAAAAAAACAGATTTTGTCTAACTTTAACTTTATTCCGAAATTGGGATTTTTTTAATTCTTTTGCCTTATCAGGGGGGACGAAATTTTTTAGATGTCTAGAAATGTCTCGTAAATTTTTAGGAAGGGTTTTTAGTATTGTTGTTGGCTAAATAGAACTAATTTAAATTAGAAAACCTATCGAAAAATTTAAAAAATGGAAAAGTCAACTTTTTAAAAAATCGGCGATTCTGGGGGGAAATTCGATTTTTGATATTTTTAAATTCAAATTTCCAAAGTGCCGTTTCGGGAATTAAAAAAATTTTGTGAAACGCATCAGCAATTTCTATTTCAAAAATTCAACCTTAAGAAACCCCCCCCCCTGATAATGGAAAAGAACCCAAAATTGGAGTTGAAGCTGAAAAATAGAGTATAACGGCTTCTTCTGGAAATTTCATCCTTTTTTCAGATCCAAATGCAACTGCGGGTGTACGACGAGAAGAAGCGGAAACAGTACAAATTCAAAGAGAACGAGGGCCTCCAATTCGCCTTCGATATTGTCAACGACTCGGCCGAAGACGTCGTCCATCAGATGATTGAGCAACAGCATATCCCTGATGAGGACACCAGGATGATCACCAAGCTCATCAAGGACAAGGTGTGTTTCGGCGGATTTGCTAGCGTATTATACCGAAACTTAAAAATCCCGAAATTCAATTAAAATTTTCGCGATTTTTACATTTTGTAACTTACAAATTGTAAACTTCCTACAAATTGTAGGCTAATATTTGTAATGTTTTCACGTTTAAAAATTGTTTATAAAATTTGTTTTTTTTTTAGTTATATGAATAAAATTGGATCCTGAAAGAAATCCCCCCCCCCCCCCCCCGATAATGCAAGAGGACCGATTTCGGATTGGATTTAGATTTCGGATTCGATTTCGAAGCGCGGAAATACAACAGGCGTAGTTTTCGTGATTTTTACGTTTTGTAAGCAAATATTTGTAATGTTTTCACGTTTAAAGGGCTGGAGAAAGATGGAATCGATGAAAGAGCAAAGAGGGTCGCACCGGACGGGGGTCGAACCAGGGATGGTCCGCCCCGCAGTCCGATGCGCTAGCCAGTACACCAGAGAGTCGAGTGGAGAGGGGCGGCGGAGTGCCCCCACATACCCTAGGGCGCATTGCCACCTATACAAAAACTGCCATTAGAAATAAAGCAATTTCATGGTGATAATAGCTAAAAAATGTTGTATAAAACCTTGCTAAATGATAGCAACGTACTTTGCAACTTTCTAGAGGTGTTTTGCTGTCTATGCGCCTCTTTTTCAGCCAAAACAGTGTCCCAAAACCCCGAATCGCCCAGAACTTGACCGCCTTCTATCCAATCCAGCTCAAATTTTTAACATCGATGCGTATCACCAAGTCCTTGGTTTCAGGAAATTTTTAGTTCAAAACATTGCTAAATGAAAAAGTTATAGCCAATAAACTGGTTTCTTCAAACGCGAGAGGGGGGTTTTGGGGGGCGCTTACGCGAGGGAAAGCGTCGATGGTAGCACCGCGGCGGTCCGTCACCCCGACGGACGCCGGCCCATCTTTCTCCAGCCCTTTAAATATACTTTTCAAAAGTTGTTTCTGCTGGTTATATTAGAACAATTGTATCCTAAAAAATGTAGAATGTAAAAAAGGTCAATTTTTAGTGATATTTTTATTTTTAATCGGCTTTTTAAAATCTACTCAATTTTCAGGTGGAGCAATTCCGACGGGATCGCGAGGTTCGGCACGCCGAGTTGAGAAGGCTGGAAGAAGAGCGGAAAGCGAAAGAAGAGGAGGACGAGGTGAAGGAGGAGCTGCGACAACGGGCTGCCGCTCGAGAAGCCACGGCCACACTCACCGCGGCCACGCTACAGACTTCCATCGAGGTATCGAATACTCGGGGGTTTTAAAGGGACAGCGACACCTGAAAAATTATTGCGAATTTCTTATACCTAGCCTCTTTTTGCTTGCCATAAAATACACTACAAATTCATAAATTTGTAGCCGCTCTGATCACGAGAAACTTATTTGAAATACTATTACCTTTTTGAAATGAAGAAAATATGGCTTTTGCATTTGTTGCGAATTTTGTCTTTTTCATGCATTTTTCTCAAAATCTCAGGTGTTGCAAAATTTGTTTGAGTCCGAAAATGCCTAGTAGCGTAATAGTAATTGTTTTAATAGTGTTTTAGTCAAATTTAACTATTTTAAATGGAAAACAATAAAAAACTTACAAAAAATTGTAGTGAAATTTTGGTGGAAATTAATATTTTTTTTGTAACTTTCAACTAGAATTTTGGACGTTTTTACGTTTAGGAATATTAAAAAACAGTTTAGAAACACTTCCACTATTTATATTTGAAACGCTTGACCTTTAGAAAAAAAAAGGTTTTTGATCTTGCGAAAAACTCGCGTTTTTTATGTGTCGCTGTCCCTTTAGTGATAATAATAATAATGATGATGATAATAATAATTTATTACGTATATTTGCCCTTCTAACCCGTGATTTTTCAGGCGATAAACGGGCATGCCGACCAGCCGGAAATGCCCCCGTTGGCAATGAGCCCGGATGGGGAATCGAAGAGGAAGAGCGGAAGCAAGAAGAAGCACGTCACCCTCGAGATTCTGAAGGTCGACACCACCGAGAATGGCACACCCTCGGCGCCGGTATGCCTCTGTGAAATTGGGGTTGAATTCAAAGGGGTTTTAGGTTATTCAAGATTTTTTGCCAAAACTAAATTTTCTATGTTTTTTCGCTTGGTTTTTGTAAATTCTGAATAGCATTTTTTAATCTTGAGTTTTAATAAATATAAATCTTTTTCCTTAGTATAACATAATTTTATAACTAAATATGTATTAAAAATACGAAATATAATTTTAGGCGGGTTTTTTTTTAGTTTTTTCGCCGAAACTTAATTTATTTGATTTTTGGTTAATTTTCTCTAAAAATAAGGTTCTAATGGCGTTACTTATCGTTTTAGTCCTAAATCTAAATTAATTAATATAATTTTAATTGTAGTTTGAAACGTAAAATTCACGTTTTGAACGTTTTCCTTGCAGCTGGTCTCGTGCCGTCTGGACACCCCGCTGCGACAGGTCGTCTTCCAGTTCGCTCCCGGACAGGACAAGGCCGATGATATCTCCAACAAATTGGTACGTTTTAAAATAGCCATTTTGAGGGTTCTTTGCCATTATCGGGGGGGGGGGGGGTTGCAATTTAAATGGAGGGCGTTTTGCTATTACAAATTTTGGTCAAAACGGAAAAATGGCCGTTTTCGATCAAATTTTCTTGCTTTAAAATTTTTAATCATTTTCCGGCTAATTTTCCACTTTAAATAGCTTATATTTTGCTGGAAACACTATTAAAAGACTTGCTAGAAATTTCTTTACTCTGAAAAAATTCACCCCCCCCCCCCCCGATAATGCCAAAGAACAAATTTAAGATAGATTTCAATTAGAAAATATTTTTTCTGATGCCCTATTTTTAGCTAGTTTTTTTCAACTTTTAAAAAGATTTTGAATCGTTAATCTGTCCTTTTTATTTAATTTTAACATTATTTAATCCTTGATTTATTCAATTTTATCCTTTTTCTGATTCTCCTCTTTTCAGTTCGCGCAGCAGTGCATGTCGGAGGATCAGATAGACACCGTCACCGAGCAGCTCAACGAGGTCGTCAAGGTATCGCACGCCTTTGCATTGCGTAACCATTTATTCTTCTCTAGTTGCTGAACGAGGACACGCAAAATCAGACGGGCCTCAAGATTGTCGCCGTGCAAGAACCCGGCCAAACTGTCTGCACGCTCACTATCATCAGTGAGTTTATCTGATTACGACGTGTTATTGGATTTTTTAGCCCCTTCGAAGTCGCAACAATCTCAAGGAGCCGCGCCCAGTACTGCTGACGTTGCTGGCGAAAAGTCGGAAACGGTAAGCAATTTTGATTTAACGTTGACTTCTTGAAATTCCTTTAAAATTAACTCTTTCTAAACTTTAAATTTTTAAATTACTAAATGCTTTAAATATAAACTCTTTAAATAAAATAATTACTTTAAATATAAACTCTTTAAATTGACTAAAAACCTAACTTTTTAAACGGCTTATATAAATTGGAAATTTCTTTAAAATAAATTTTTATATTAAAATTATTAAAATAAAAAATTTTAAAAGCCGTTTAAAATACTTTAAAAAAAATTTTTAACGGTTTTTAATTTTTTTTAAGGAATTAGTCGGGTTCTTTTGCATTATCGGGGGGGGACCAATTTTTCCTATACGCCCAGAAAGTCCTAGAAAGATTTTGGTTGTATGTTTAGGGAAATTTAACGATATTTCAAGCCGAACACATTTATAAAAAAAACTGAAATTTTTAGGTGAAATCTAGTCAAAAATTGAATTTTCAATTCAATTTCGATTTTCAATAAAAATTTGTAATTTTGTAAATTTAGGAATAGTTAAAAATAGTTTACATTCGTTCTTTCTATTTAAATAGCCGATTTTAATCCGGGGTTCTTACCGTTTAAAGCTAATTTTGCTAATTTAGATGAAGACAGTGTTTCTAAACTATTTTTGCTATCACTAGGCGGCAAAAATTGGAAATTTTGCCTACATATTAAAGAACTAGATTTTTAGACCAAATTTTCAATTTTAAACCTTTTTTAGGCTTTTTAAATAGTTGCCCTACATACAAACTCTAAATTTTACGAAAAAACACTATTAAAATGATATTATTTTAATGAGGGTGAATTACCGTCCATTTTTTGCAGCCAACTCCAACAACGGAAGCCCTGCCCCCAATTCATCTACCATCACCGCCCCAGCCGGTCGTCACGAGCAGCACCACCACCGAGCCATCACCCCCTGCCGCCATTCCTATTGAGCAGCCACAACCCCCTCAACATCCTCAACAAGCACAACAGGCACAACAAGCACAGCGACCCGAGGAACTACCCACAACTACCGTACCCCCGGCCGTCACTTCCGCTTCCGCGGCCCCGGAACCGTCACCCGCTGCTGCGGCTCCTACGGCTGCTGCTGCTGCTCCCGCTGTGGCTGTTGCTCCTCCCAAGAAGAATCGCTTTGAGGTGAGCTACCTTTATAAAAATGAGTGCTTTTCCAATATCGGGGGGGGAGGGATAAATTTTTTCCTATTAGCAATTTTGTGGCAGGTATTTTAATAGTGTTTTTAGAAAAATTGAACTATGTATTGAGCGATAAAACAATCAAAACATTTTGAAAGTTTTTGTAGTTCAAATTTTGCTCCGAAAAATATTTTTTTAATTTTTTCTGCAGCTTTGTAACGTTTGTAGGGTTTTTAGTGGTAGAAAAATAGTTTTGGAAACACTTTCTCTACGTCCACAAATGCCTAGCAGCGTTTGTTGATGTGTTTTTTAATATTGTTTTTATTATCGTTTATCTATATTTCAAGTAGACAATAACTAGAAATATTTTTTTTTTGAACTTTCGGCCAAAAAATTTAAAATTTAAGGGTCATTTTCAAATTTAAAATTTAAAACTCGGGTCTAAAATGAAAAAATCGAAAAGTTTAAGTTTTTGGCAGCCAAAAATAAAATAGACAATAAATTTCGGTGAAATCAACGTACAGCCTTTTTTTCAGGTGACGAAATCGAGCCTGCCGCCCGCTACGGTCGAGGATGACGCCGGCAAGGCCAAGGATTCGACGGCCGGCGAGGTACGTTTATTTAATTCGATTTCATGTGCTTCAATTTCAGGCTTCAACCCCGGCTTCCACCCTCTCAACCCTCCTCCCACCGCCCGCCCTGTCGAACTGCTCGACGGCGTCGTCACCATCGAACACGGCCTACTCGAACAACTCCTCCGTCAACAGCAACGCCAGCACGCATGGACGATTCTCGGTGAGAACGGGGGTTTTTGAAGGATTATTTAGCATCGTCGAAAAGCAGTTTTTAAGGTTCTTTTGCATTGTCGGGGGGGGGGCAATTTTTCCAATTTTTTATGGTTTGCTCCTATAAGTCCAGGAAGTGTTTTTACGCCGTTTTCTACTATTCCTAAGCCCAAAAACTGTAGAAATTTTGAAAAAAATGCAAAAATTATCGATTTTTCGACCAAAAATTACCATTTTGAAAATTTCAACTATCGCTACTTTCTAGGTTTTTTTTATTGTTTTTCCACTTAAACTCGTGGTAAATTTACTAAAAACGCTATTAAAACGTAGATTACGTTTGTAGGCATTTCTGATTTTAGGAAAAAATTGCCCTCCCCCCGATAATGCAAAAGATCCAGATTTCTAGAATTTTCGGATTTTCGAGATTTTTCCTGGCTTCCAAATTTTCTATTTCACCCCGTAATCTCGCCCCCTGTATTCCACAGCGAACATCTAGACGCTGGGCCTTGATCAAAAAACACCAGATTGGCGATTTTTCGACCAAAAATGGCGGATTTTTTACCAAAATTCAACTAAAAAAATTTCTGTTTGTTTTTCACTTAAAATCGTGTTAAATTTTACTAAAAACGCCATTAAAACATTTACTATTACATTAGTAGACATTTCGGGATTTATAGCACCCCCCCCCCGTTAATGCCAAAGATGCAGATTTCTAGAATTTTTGGAATTTTCGGGACTTTTTCTAGATTCCAAATGTTCTATTTCACCCCCGTAATCTGGCCCCCTTTATTCCGCGGCGATCCTCTAGACGCTAGACTCGTTTTGTATTCCTCCCGAGGCTTTTGCGCGCAATTTATGCGATAAAACATTGGCGTTTTCTCCTATTGGCCACGCGATGAATCATTTTATTATTGCCGGTAGGGGGCTAGATGATCGGCCGATAGCTTTTCTCCCCCCCTCAGCCCGGTCACCCACCCCTTTTATACAGTGTGTAATATGCAACGGAGCGAAAAAAGAATATTGATCCCCCTCCCCCTCCCCTGGAAGATATCGTCCTTCTCAGACATTTGCCGTTTTTTGTGACCAAATCAATTTTCTGGGCCTTTTTGATGATCTTACTGTAATTTTGGCGCATCGGTTCGGCTTCGAAAATGCAGGATTTGGTGTCCCGGCCCCTTTAGGAAATGGAGAATGAAAGTTAACGGTCATTTTTGCAAACGTTACAGGGATTTTTTAAGGAAAAGAGCTGGGTTGTACGATTAGGCAGGCTGATTTTTGATTTTCGGTTGACCTATAAACTACATCGCGTAATGGATTAGGGCTAAAAATTATTATAAAAAGTTTGGCATTTTTGGGTACTGGACTGTTACCGGGGGGGGATAATTTTTGCTTTTTTTTGCCGGTTAGTAACAAATAGTGCGTTTTTAATTGTTAGAGATCGTAAAAAATATTTTAAAGCGTTTGAAATTTTGCCCTTGCGTCATTTTCATAGATTTTTGAACAAAAACTTAAAAATTTAGGAATTTTTTTAATTTTTCGGTCCTGTTAATCTAAAACTCGCGTAAATGCTATCAAAAATGCATTCTATTTCGTTATGGATTCCAAGAGAAATCAGCCCCCCCCCGCTAACCGCCCAGTGCCTTTTTTGTTGATATTTTCAAAATTTTGCCTTGCCGGGTCCTTTAATCGGGTAGGGCCGGAATTCTTAGCGTTGTTCTGAAAATATTCTTCTTCGATTTTCCCGTTTTTTGTACATTTTTAACCTAGTTTCGAAATGGTGCCTTCCTGGGCCCTTTAACCTGAATATCCGTGTCCCTCCACGCCCCCGGCTTCTTCTCCCTCCTTCTTTCCGGAGGAGAAGAAGAAGCCCTCTGCCGCCCAAACCTAAGCCTTATGTCCCCCAGTTCGAGCTCTTTCTATTCGAGCCAACGGACGGGATCTCCAGCCCTTCCCCTTTTTGATACAGCCACAAAAAGAGGGGCTGGTCAGACGATGTCGCATCGTTCTATTGCAGAGAGTGGGGAAGGGACCTTTTCTCGTAGCAGGGGGGGAGATGTCGCTTGCCCATTCGGGAATCCCGACACTCTCCCCTCTCTCTTTCTATTGCTGCACTAATGGGATTGGTCCCTGGATTATGGGACACGGAAATAGCAATAGAAGAAGCCTCGACGCATCCCGCTGGTGCAGCCACGAATTCCTCGTGGCTACAGATTGGCATTGGGCTCTGCGCGGATTGGTGCTGTCGCATCGGGGCTTACATTTAGAATGTTTTCTGGGGCCGGGGCCTGCATTAACGGGGGGAGGGGCACTAGCTTTTTCCTAGAAATTCAGAAATTCGATATTCATGTCGTTTTTAATCAAAATTTGTAAGGTTTTTAGGCATGGTAAAAAACAATTTAAAAACACTCCCTGTTTATATTAGAAAATTCATATTCGCCGATTTTACAAAATTTTAAACTTTTTAAATTTTTTGATCGGTTTTCAAAAACTAGACTTTGATTATCGAGGGGCCAAACTTTTGAACAGCATTATTAAACGTAAAAACTACAAATTTTGTTTTTTGGCCAATTTTCAAGGGTTTTTCACAGTTTTCGCACTTTCAATAACTCTGAGTTGTATAAAAAACACTCCGCCCGTGGTATTGACACTGTGTAGGACTTGAATTCTAGGAAAAATTCGGCCCCGACTGGAAACACAAAATAACCCCAAAAAAACCCGGAAATCCGTGATTTTTACGTTTTCGTACGGTTTAGCGACTTCACTGGCAAGCTCGGCTACTTCAGATTTTACTGACTTCCTAGAATTTTTGTTTGAAAGGAATCGGCAAAAACCATGGGGGCCTTGCCGATCCGTTTAGTAGCTTCCTTGGGTCTCTATCTAAAAGCTAAATCTAGAAGCGCACAGCGATCAATAGGGAATGGCCGAAAAGTTGTGAAATTGCAAATTTATCGCAATTCTCATTTTTGAAATATGATTTTTGAAAATATGACTTCGAAAGAATTTTTGCAGAAATATCAACTATAATAAAAAGGTAGGGGGCGTCTGTCCGTCTGTCCGTCCGTCGTGTCCCGGATTCAACTCGAAGGCGAAAGGAGCTAGGGCTTAGCTCTCTTCGGATTCGGATAGAGCGTCGTCAGAAACCCCCAAACTGATAAAAAAATTATGAAAAAGTTTCAATTTAAATTATTAAAATTAACTTTGAAAGTTTTTTCCTTAGTAAGAGGGCTGGGGGACGGAGGTTGGGGTGATTTTGGACATAGTGAGCCAGGTCGCGCGCGTTTCGGCGATGAGGAGGGAGCGCAAGGGGGTAGCCCGAAGTCCAGCCGCTTGCAGCGGCGAAGCCGCTTTAAGCGGCTGGTACTTTTCGAAAAAAATGATTGCCCGCCGTTTCTTATGCCTTTTCCATAGAAAAACCGATTTTCAGGTGCGCACAGTGGCAGCCCCGGATTCTGGTGTCGGCTCAGCGACAACATCCGTACACGCTTGCGAGGCTGCCGACCAGCTTTTCATGGCTTCCACGACCGCTTCTGCTGCCGGATCTCTGCCGGCGACTGCGTCAAGTACAGCTGTCAGTTTTATCTTTCCTATTTTGAACGCATTTCCGGCCGTACGGTATCCCGAAATGTGTAATTTATTTGTTTCAGCCAGGCACGGTGACCGGGTCGACCGTCACGCTCACACCGAACGCCTTGGCCACGCCCACCGAATCTGGACAGCAGGTATGCCTTTGAAAAATAGGTGGTTTTCGGCGGTACTGGACTGTTTGCGGGGGGGGGGGGCTTTTCCCGGTTATCCCGGACGGCCGTATAGCGAAATATAACTGTTTTCATCGAATTTTAGACGGTTTTTAGATATAAATCCGCATAAAAATGCTAAAAATTTATTGAATTTCTGATTTTTGTGCAAAAAGGTATGGAAAATGGCCAAAAAATCAAAATTTTGGAATTGCAAAATTCAAATTTTAGGGCACGTTTGAGGATCATTTTTGACGCGCTATCCGATGGCCCTGCAAAAATAGCAGGAATATTTTGACAAAAAAAAAGCTGTTGCCACCCCCGTTAAGCAACTTTTACCCAAAAAATGGTCAAATGTTCGGATTTTCCAAAATCCTACTATCCGGTTCTTGTGTATTCCCGGGGAAAGAATTCGCGGGGGAAACTGAACTTTTGGCCCAAGCCTAGATTTTTTATATAAATAGTGGAAGTGTTTCTAAATTGTTTATAGCTATTCCTAAACATAAAAACTTTACAAAATTTAATTAAAAAATTTAATTTTAGGTCGAAAAATCGATTTTTTCGGTCCAAAAATGACCAAATTTTCGACTTTTTCAAGTGTTTTTCTAACTTTTTAAAAAGTTTTTCCGATTCAAATAGGCTTAAATTTTGCTAAAAACAATGTAAAAACACTTTATATTTGATTACTATCCCCACCAGGCCCGACAAAAAAAAGTTGGTTTCCCCCCGCGAATTCTTTCCCCCCCGGGAATACACAAGTACCCTACTATCCTACTATATATAAAAAAATCCAAACAATTAGTGACAATGACAATTAGTGAAATTTACGCTGTTTTCCAGACACAAACCCTGCAGCCACCGGTGGTCCACGGCACGACATCGCTGGCGCTTCTGGAGTGTGAGCTGCGGAAAGTGAGCGGTGTACCGGAAATGCCTCAACCAGCCACAATTGCCACTGGATTGTCATCGGCTGTCGAAACGGCACCCCCTCCATCAGCCCCTATCAACACAAATACACCCACAACCACGCCGAATCCCACGACGGCCGCTCCACAATCTGCTCCTCCTCAGCCATCCGTCATCCCGCAACATCTACAAGTACATACGCTTCTTTTAAAGGGGCCAACAAGTCAAAATTTGGGTTTTCGGGAATCGAACCTGCTAGTAAGCCTAAAATGTTCTCTGCTGGCTTGCCCTTTGCTAGATTAGCTCATTGCCAATACGCTGAAAATCGCTGAGAAATCACCAATCCCCAATAATCTCCGCTAGCTAGCCCGGGATTTCCGAAAAATGACAGAAAGGATGCTAAAAACCCGGATTATTGCAATTCCGCAAATGGCTTCTGCTCGCTTGCCAATACGGTGAAAATGGCTGAGGCGGCAAGGGACGGCCGCTATGGATTTTGATGATTTTTACGTAACGCGCAGCCTGGCATTACCTTGCGTAAGCCATTACAAATCTTCTTCGCGATTTTACTAGTGATAGATAAAAAACAGCGTTCGTTAGAAGCGTTTAGCTTTATGTAGAATTTATTCTGTCTCTTTTGCATTAACGGGGGGGGGGGGGGGGGGGCGGGAGGGGCAAAATTTTCGTAGAATCAAATTGTTGATATAAATAGTGGAAGTGTTTCGAAACTGTTTTTTCCTATTCCTAACTATACAATTTATTTATTTCTTTTATTAAAACATTATTAAACCTTGAAATTTGTATTAGAAAATTACCAAAAAAAATAGTTCACCATTTCCGAGTTGCCAATCCCTTCAAGTCGTGATTTATCTCTTTTTTTGCAGGCTTCAACATCTCACACGCCCTCCTCTCAAATCGACGGGCAGCCCTCAAGCACGAATCTGTTGCTGACGGATCTGTCGAGTCGACTCAACGAATTGTGCCTCAATCAAGCGTACGTTCTTCAATTGATTTTTTATGACTTTTTTTTATCTTTTAGTGAAGCCGACGATGAGCATCAACAACAGCAAGAAGTGGAGCAGCAGCCGAGTAGCAGCAGTGTACAGCTTGTCACACTCAATGGTTTGGCCGATGCGCTCAATAAGGTAAGAATCCAGACTTTCGATTGATAATTCGGACTTTAGGTGATACACAAGGATACGTCACGGGATATGGAACGAGAATCGTCAGCCATTCCCCAGCAGGGACGCCAATCGCCCACCGCCGAGATGGAGATGGTACGCAATTTTCGATTTTTAAAGGGCCCGGCAAGGCAGAGCCATTGATTTTGTCGATTTTGCCGTGTCGCGAGTGCGGAAAATCCATCGGAATCCATAGCTAAAATCAATATTCTGGCTTGCCGGCCCCTTTAAAGGGGGCGGGACAGTGTTCGGAACCTCTCAAATTCAATACCTTTCGACTTTCTTCGTAATTTAACCCTATCAATTTAGTTCGAGCGCTTGCTTTTAAATATGCTTTATCTCAAAATAGCAAGATTTAGTTCAAAACTAATTTTTCCCCTTGGAAACCTTTAGAAACTAATTTCGCACTGCGGCGCCCCCTTAAATCTCTCCGCTTTTATCAGCCTTATTTTTGTATAGCTGCTGTGCTCGTAAATTTGGTTTTTAATTGTTTAAAGTTACAATTTTTCTTATAAAAACTCGAAATCTTAGAAACCTTTAGAAATTATGGTTCTATGGCATTGTCGGGGGGGGGATGTTTTCCCGGGCATCCAATTCTGCAAAAAAGTATTGCTACTAAGTCTTTAGGAAAAAATCAGGCCCCCGCTAATGCACTAGCGCCAAAATAATTAATTTATTTTGATAACCGCTTAATGCATTCTAATTTTTCTCTATTTTGTAGAGCACAATGATGTCGCCCTCTGCTAGTAAAAATCTCGATTTTTTCGACTAAAATTGCAACTTAAATTTTTTTTAAAGTTTTTTGCCCACCTGAATTCTGTGCGAATCATACTAAAATGGTATTAAAATACTATTAGGACAATTTTAGCCCCCCACCCCCGATAATGCACTAGCGCCAAAATGATTAATTTAATTCTTATAACCGCCTCATGCGCTCTAATTTTGCTCTATTTTTGTAGAGCACCATGATGTCGTCCTCCTCGCAGACATCCCTTCCAACAGCCGTCATGTCAACAACATCACTCTACGACAATAATTGGGAGCAAGAAGAAGAGAAAACGCGACGAACACAATCCGCCAAGGCATCCACTGCACTCGCCAATCTCGACTCGGCACTCGCTTGTGCTCTGGCGAGAACAGCAACAAGGACAGGAGCACATACACCATGTCTTGGACAAGGACATGATCATCTACCATCCACATCATCTACAGTACCCACCAGTGGGGATGGAGGAGCAGGAGGAGCTGCAGGAGGAGCAGGAGCTCATTTCCATCTTGGGTCTCCGCCAATCCATTCCCCAATGATCCCGCACTCTGATCAGGATCATTTCGACTACGATGGGGTGAGAATTTCGGGGATTTTCTGATTTTAATATTAGTTTTAATAATCCGTCACCCTACCCGCTTTATAATCGCTTTAATTTTGCTATCCTTTGTAGAGGGCAAAAGATCGTGCGCCGTTTAGTTTGTCTTTAGCCGTTTTCAAAATTATTAAATTGCTGGAAAACTACATTTTTTGTTTTGGGTTTTTCGAGGATTTTAATAGTTGTTTTTCCGCTTTGCCAAGCTCCTCTAAGCGACTGAAGCGGAAAAACGGGGTTTTTTTTTCTGGATTTTTTGTAGTAAAAATTGCTTTATTAACTTGATGAATCTGCTATTTATTCGGGATGCTAAGCCGATTTTTTTTAATTTTAAAACTGGGATTCCTTGTAGATAATCGGGTTTTTATTTTTGCTTTTTAATCGGCACGTCGAAAAATCTGGGCTGTGAAATTCGAAGATTTGGATTTTATTTCGTTTTTCAGGGTTTCGAGGAGGCGTTCGAGGCGGATTTCGAGAATGAGGAGATTGTCAAGCAATTTCGAGCACGACATCTACGGGAAAGACAAGAACTCATGGATAGACAGCACAGGGAGATACAGCAGGTGAGCATCAGGATATCTCTCGCGCGCGCGCTCTCTCTCTCTCTCTCTCTCTCTCTCTCTCTCTCTCCTCTCCGTCTCTCTCTCTCGCTCTCTCGCTCTCTCATCTCTCTCTCTCTCTCTCTCTCTCTCTCGCTCACTCCTCTCTGTCTCTCTCTCTCCTCTCTCTCACTGGCTCTCTCGCATTAGCATTTTCGGTTCTGGACTGTTAGCGGGGGGCTTTTAAAACCGAAACTGCTCCCCCCCCCGCTAACAGCCCAGAACCGCATTTCTTCAGACTTCAACCCAGAACCACCCAATTTTATGTATTTCTTTTCCAGGTTCGCGCCCACTTCTTCCACGCGCGCCTCCTCTCCTCATCGGCTAGTTCCTCTACGGCAGCTGCAGTCCCTCCTCCAGCCCGTTCCTCATCTACAGCCCCAGCTACCGTACCCCATCAGGCGTTGAGTGGCGTGTCTCTCTCCCTTCCCTCCTCTCCGCCACCTCCGAATATCGGTAAGCCCCCTTTTTGGCGTTAGTTTTGATAATTTTTGGAGCTCTTGCAGTATCGGGGGGGGGGGGTTAATTTTTTTATAAAGTCAGATTTGGCTAATAATTTAATTAAAAAGATTGTCATTGGTTTTTAGTAGTTTTAGATGTATTCTCGGGAAAAAGTTATCTAAAAATCGAAATTTTTTTCACCGCGTCCCCCCGATAATGGAAAAGCTCCGAAATTACGGTGCTTTTCGGTTTCCTTCAATTTTTCAAGGTTCTACTATTAATTGTAGTAAAAAGTCAGTGGTGAAACACGATAGAAGATGCACAATATCCCCCCCTCCGATAAGGCAAAAGCTCCGGATTTTCGGTGCTATTCGGTTTTCCGAAATTTTTCGAGCCTTCTACATTTAGAAATGGCAAAAAGCAAAAATCGTTCTATTTGTATTAGAAAAATGTCCCCCGCTAATGCAAAAGTACCAATTTTTCAAAAACGTTAATTTTTATATTTAAATTTCAGTGTCATCATCGGCAGCTGTTGCTCCCCCGTCGTCTCTATCTGCTGCTCCATCAGCCTCCACCTCTTCAGCCCATCATCGTCAGTCATCAGCCCCTCCCCTTCCGCCTCCATCCACCTGACATACGGCTTCTTCTCCGGCTTCATCCCCTTCAGCTTCTCTGGCTACAGTAATGCCTCTCGTATCTGTTGCTCCCTCTCCCTCTTCTTCTCATTCTCTCTCCTCTCTTTCTATCTCTCGTCGGAGAAGACGATGTCATTGTACCCTCCTTTAACCATATATTCCACAAATGCTCCCTGCTAGTTGCCCCGTGCCTCTCTCTCTCTGCTGTATGGGGACTGGTGCGTTAGCGGGGGGGGGAGCCTGCTAATAAATTTAAGGTTCTGAAAATTAAAAATTTAGATGATTGATTTTTCCAAAAGTTAAAATTTTTCGTATTTGCGATCAGTTTTGTAAGGTTTTATACCTAAAAACAGATAAACCAGCTTTTTCTAGCGTTTTTTAATAGTTTACGGTTGCTAAAAAATTTCAAAAATTTAGAAAATTTAAATTTTCTGATTAAAAATTCAAAAATCTTCATTTGTGATAAACTTTGCCTCTCTAAAAAACCGCGTTAAATCCAATTAAAATGACTTCAATTTCATTAGGAAAAGTGAGTTTCCACTCCCCCCGCTAAGGAACCAGTACCCGTTCTCTCCGTGTTGTCCGTCAGTCATTTGTTGTGTCTTCTATGTGCCTTTAATTGCCATCATCCCCCCTGTCTATAATAATTAATTCATTAATTAATGCCGGTTTCGTGTGTCTCTCCCTCTCTCTCTCTCTCTCGCCTCCCCTGTCTCTCTCCACGCTCTCTCTCGCCCACTCTCTCCACTCTCTAAGCATTGTGCCGCCAGCGGGTAATACTTGCGACATTGCTCTGTCTATCTCTTTCTCTGCTGCTGCTATTTTTGTTGCTCTCTCTCGCTGCAGCGTGTCTCTCTCCTCTATCGTTTCTCTCGTTTTTGCGCTCTCTCTTTATCATCTATATCTGATGCCAATAAAGTTTTTGCCTTTTATTTTGGGTTGGAAAAATGCAGTGTAAATCGGTGAACCGCTACAGTACCCCGGATCCGATTACGGCATGAAATTCGGGATCGAGCCGAGCGTCCGGGCCCCTTTAAATGTAATTTTTTGGGGGCTTTTTTGGCGGATTGGCTCCTCTGACCGTCACTTGTTACGAATTTCCGCCCCTACAGTACCCCGGAGCCGATTACGCGATGAAATTCGGGATCGAGGGGACTTCCGGGTCCCTTTAGCTACCATTTTTAGCCGGAAGGACCTGTTTTAGCCATTTTTGGCCTATCTGACATAGTAGGATATGGCGAATTTGCCAGCCTACAGTATCCTCGATTCGATTACGCCATGAAATTCGGTCGTCCGGGCCCCTTTAAGATCAATTTTTTGGGGGCTTTTTCGCAGATAGCTTTTTTGCAGTTGGATAGTGCGAATTTGCACCCCTATGGTACCCCGGATCCGATTACGCCACGGAATTCGATTTGCATATTTCGATAAGGAAATCGAATTTGCCTGGGAAAATGACTAGAAAAGCCGAAAATTGGTTGGAAACCTCATTTTCCTACCCATTCTCCCTTAAATTATTTATCCCGCCCCCCTCTATTAATGCGCGCCTTAAACGCCGGTTTGTCATTTTTTTAGATTTTCGATTAAAAAATGGCTTTTAATTCGATATTTCGGCTTTAAAAGAATTTCAAAAAATTTAAGTTTTTTTAAAAGAGACTTTACCTCTGTTTTTTTGTAAATCTCTTCTTAAGGTGCGCGCCATTTGAAGCGCCTTCCGGCTCATCTCCATTTCGAGACGGCTACCGTATCCGATCTGCCGGCCCTTTCCGATCTGTTCCTCCATCAATTCGTCCGCTGCGAGCCCCATTCCAGGGTATTTTCCGGTTTCTAAAGGTTTTCCCGTAAAGATATACCCATTTCCCAGCCCTCCCCCAAAAAGAAAAAAGTTTTGTCGTGGCCGGGGGTCGAACCCGGGTCGTGTGGGTGGCAGCCTGGCACACTACCAATCGGCCACGGGGTTCGGCGCGGAATTTTTGTTTCTTTATTTTTTAAGATTTTCCGGGTTTAAAATTCCGCAAGAATCTCCGCTGGCATGCCCACATTTTAGGCGTTCCACATGGGCGACGAGGCGGCCCCGCTATTCGAGGCGATCGCCGATTCCTGTGTTCGTCAGCCGTACTCCCTCAAATTAATTGACGACAAAAAGGTGGGCATTCCGTTTTAAAGGCATCGTGACAGCTAGCTTATATGTAAGCCACGCCCTTTTTTCAGGATAATCGTGTTGTTGGGTTCCGTCTGCTGGGTATTGGCCATCGTGATCCATCACTCGATCCATTCCCCATCCAGCCACAAGTCAACGCCCCAAATGTTCTCACTTTAAGTGGGTTTTACACGCTTTTTTATACCTTGTATTTCTATCCCTAAAAATTACATGAAATCTATCAAAAACAAAAATACCGATTTTTTGCCGAAAAATTCGCAAATTTCACATTTTTACAGATTTTAAGTCGGTTTTAAAGTTTTTTACAAGTTTTACCTTGTATTTATTTTCTATCATTAAAAAACTACAGTAAATCTATTAAAAACACAAAATATCGATTTTTTTTTTGCCCAAAACTTCGACATTTTCGGCCGAATTTCACATTTTTAGGCAGTTTTTACGCCTTCTAAATTACCGTAAAAATCTAAATTTATAATAATTTCTAAAATCGCTAAATGTAAATAAAATTAGGGAGAAAAATTGGTGTTTTACGGCGAAATCGTAAGCTATAAACGACAAACTCGGTACTGGACTGTTAGCGGGGGGTATTTTCAATATATTAATGCCTTCATTATTATATAGTGTCTTTTAGCGTATTTTTAATAGTTTTTAATTGCTAGAAAATGCGAAACTAGTTTTAAAAATTAGAAAATTAGAAAATTCGGTTTTTTGGTCAATTTTTATAGATTTTTGAGAAAAATTCAAAATTTTTCGAAATTTTTTATAATTTTTATGGGTTTTTTTGATATCTAAAAACAGACAAAAGGGCCATAGAAAATTTTTATATTTTGTTATAGGGCCGTAGTGACACAGGGAAAAATTCGCTCCCCCGTTAAGAGTCCAGCACCGCTAAAATTTGGACTACACACCAGGCTACCGTATCCCTCTCTCTCTATTGTTTGTAGTGGCGATGCTGGAGGAGACAAAGCGGCTGACATTGGAGGCATTGCCCGACATCCACAAAATGCTACGGTACGCCCGGCTACAAACTACACGCCACAACTATTGAGCGTCGGAATTTTGTAGCCGATATCGCCGATCCGGCTCAAATTTTTTGCACATATTAACTGTCAGCCAGCTAAGGCGCTACCGTAATTTTGACCGGATCCGGTCATCGGTTTGAGATTTATGCGGAAAGTTGCGTTTTCGGGGTATTTTTTTCGTGATTTCAAAGCACGTGAGACTACAAACTACACCTCTGGGCATACGGTAGCAGAGCGATTGTTTTCTCTGTCTTTTCAGCCGTGAGATCTCGTTCATCACCTCCGACTATCAGCATCGTGGCATTGGGGCCCTCATGCTCCATCACAAACTCGACTTCGAGCAGCTCAAGGTCGATCTTTTTCGCTCGAGCTTTATGCAGATTTCTCCGTTTTGGGAGGGCAGAAAGTTTTCAATGCCTCTAACTGTCAGCCAGAAAAGTATAAACTGTATTCAAATCGGCAAATCGGCGTACAGTAAGACTCAAAAAAGACGCGAAAAAAATCCGATTTTTCATTTTTCCAATTTAGGCAATTTCCCCGGGTTTTCATGGGTCAACAGACTTGCCAGATCCTTGATTTGCCCGCCAGAAAAACGTAATACTTATTAAAATCGGCAATTTAGACTACAGTAAGACGATAAAAACCCGATTTCAAAATCCAAAAATCCAATTTTTGGAAATTTTCGATTTTTGCAATGCTCAGAATTTGCAATCCCTGTAACTGACCGGCAGAAAGGCCAAAAACTCTGCAAATTCCATCCAATTCCGTGTAATTGCCCCTTTACAGGCAGATGGAGTGCAGGGTATCGTCTCGGAGGCGACATCAAAGGCCAATCAGCATCTTCTCTCTTCAAGGGGATACAAGAAAGTGGCACAACTACCCGATAGGTATACTGTAGCCACACGGAACCGGGAAGGGGTACTCTACGCTACAATCCACAACAAATGACGACATGACACTGGCAATAGTACACTACTGTACGCTAGGGTACGGTGGAGTACGGTAGGGTGTAGTTTGTAGTCTCAGGTTGCAAAGGATAAAGAATAAAGTGAGACACCCCCCCCCCCAACAAAAAAGTGGTGTAGAAGAGGATAGGAGGGAGGGGAAGGGAGGGAAGTGGGGTTTAGACTGGCAGCCAGTTAATAGGTTAGTGGGGCTAAAGAGGCAGTGACAACTTTCTCCAGGCGACAGCTAATGCCAATCTGCCACCATTAGTACGTTACTGTACGCTAGAGTACGTAGGAGTACAGTAGGGCATAGCTTGTAGTCTCTAGCGGAAAACTGGCAGCCAGTTAGTCTATTCAAAAGTTTAAATCCCCCTTTTGCAGCGTCTACAAGCAGCTGTTCATCCATTTGCACGACGGAACGCGGAATATCGAAGCGTTCTTCTATGATTTGCGATGAGGGGCGAGACACGGGCGAGAGAGCCGAGGAAAAGAGAGACAATCAAGAGAGAGAGAGAGAGAAGAGAATGATCTGATCGCCATGCCATTGTTTTATGGGATAAATTGTGTTTTTGGGAGTGTTATTGTGCTTTTCTGAATATTGCCTGCATCTCAGTGATGCGGATCGTAAAGATTACATCCTTCAAATTTTGTATTTTTCCACCAAAAAGCTTTCCATAGCCTTTTCTGGCTGCCAGTTGAGCTGACCGGAAGTAAAAATCGAAACCGGATTTTTTGGTTTTTTTATTTTATTTTTTTAACGAAATCAGTAGGTGGTGGTGGGTTAGTTGATGCTAAAATGTGTTCTTTTCCGGTACGGTACTTTACTGAACCCGGAAAAGCTTTAGTATGACCTTTTCTGGATGCCAGTTCGTTCATTCGAAAACCGCAATCCTTCAAATTTTGTAATTTTGCACCAAAAAGCTTTCCATAGCCTTTTTTGTCTGCCAGTTGAGCTGACCGGAAGTAAAAATCGGAACTCAATGCTTCAAATTTTGGGTTTTCGCTATTTTTGGCGCTGAGGTGAGCTTCACTGTGCGGCTGTTGACGCTAAAATGCGTTCTTTTAGGGTACGGTACTTTTCTAAACCTAAAAAGATTACCATATTACCCTTTCTGGATGCCAGTTGAGTGGATCGGAAGCAAAAAACGGAAACCAAACCGTATTTTTTTACTTTTAAATGATACCAATAGCTTCTCTGCATGCCAGTCAATAAAACAAAATAGAAATATATATTTATTCTTAGACTTTTTGCTTATTACTTGCGGGTGTAGCTGTGAAAGAATGGATGGAATACATCGAATAAGTGGCAATGGAAATGACATGGAAAGGGGGGGAGGACGAAAAGGAGCTTTTGCAGTATCGGGGGAGGCACGGCTCCTTAGTATCCTATTTTCTAACGCTTTTTCAATTAAAATCTGGCTAAATTTTGCTAAAAATACCGCTAAAATAATTTCTAAAGCGTTACTGAGCAAGGAAAAATCACTCCCCCCCTGATAATGCAAAAGCTCCAGGGAAAGAATCAGAGGAAAAATTATATATTATTCTCCTCTTCCTGAATGACGACCTGCTGGCCGGCCTTTTCGTCTCTTTTCTCTCCTTTCTGCTTCCGCTTTGCCAGCAATCGATTATTGCTCTCGGCAAGACTCTTGATCTCAATTTGTTCTCCATCCATCCGCATCGCCGTCAATGTTTTGTCGAATTCCTCCTGAAAAATAGTTAATTAACGGGTTGTTTTTGTGGAATCCCATTAACTGGCAGCCAGTGAGGTGAAAATGGCTCAGAAATACCGAATCCCAAGGTTTCTCAGCTAGCTTGCCACCGGTTTCGATAAACTGACAGCCATCGCTGTCAGCGTTTTCTTTCGTTGTCAGCGTCACTCGTAATTCAGAGTAAGGCAATAACGATCAAAAAATTCCGAATCACAAATGGTATTTGCTAGATTGCCACCGGTTTCGACAAACTGACTGCCAGGAGGTGGAAATGGCTCAGAAATGCCGAATCCCAAATGGTCTCTGCTAGCTTGCCCCGATTTCGACGAGCTGACCGACAGATCGCCCAAAATTCAGCGATTTTTCAAATTCCCCAAATTGTCTCTGCTAGTTCGCCCTCGATTTCGTATGACCGACGGCCAAGGAGAGAAAATTCCAATGTTTTTCGATTTCCACAAATTATCTCTGCTAGCTGGCCCTGGATTTTGACAAACTGACAGAAAAGCAGAGATTTTCCGGATTCTTTCCGTATTGTCTCTGCTAGTTAACCCCCCAGCTCACCTGCATCTCTCCCCATTGTCCCTTCTGATCAGCTAACATTCCGACAGTAGCCAGTGGAGTGGCTGGTACTTGATGATAATGTGTGATCCATTTATGTTCCATTACTTCTCGTATTGTATATCTTTCCGATGGGTCTGTTCGCAACAATTTTCGAATCAGATCTTTCGCTGAAAAAAACGCAATTAAAGGAATCCAGGTTTTCAATTTCATAAATTCGCCTGTTTTTTTCATCAAAAATCTAAAATTTTTAATAATCATTTTTATTTATTTCAAATTTTGTTGAACATAAAAATAAAAACCGGGCTTTTATGAGCCAATTAGATCCTTCGCTGAAAAATTGCAATTAAAGAAATCCTTGATTTTTAATTTAATAAATTCGGCATTTTTAACAAAAAAATTATCGAAAAATGTTAATTTCATTTTGTATTTTAAATATTTTAAAAACTAGAAAACGTTTAAAATCAAATTTTATATCCACTTAGATCTTCGCGACAAAGTTAGAATTAATTTAAATCTATATTTTTTGGTGTTTAGTTCAATGAATTTAATTATTTTCCACTTCAAATTTTAATTCAGCTTAATTATGTTATTTAATAAAGATTTTACAACCTAAAAAATGTTTTAATATAATTTTAATTGCAAAATTTAAATATCACCAAAATCGACAAATTTTGAAACATTTAATAATTTTTGAACGAATTTTATAAGCAAATCAGATCTTTCGCTGAAAATTAATTAGAAAGACAATTAATTTATATATTTTTCATATTTTTGCCCGTTTATTTGGCTGTTGCCTATCAGCTAAAATTTCCCAACAGGAGCTCTTTTTTTAAGGGAATTTTTTGAGATTTCTGAAAATCCTCGAGTAAAAATCAATTTTTTTGCAAAAAATTGCAATTTTGAGCTTTTGTGTGGTTTTAAAAGGGTAATTCCACATTGAAAAGCTTAACTGGCATACATAATATTTTTCCGAAGCCGAAAATTAATTAAAATTCCTTTAATCAAAAAAAAAGTCAAGAAAGTGGGTTTTGGCGCTGAATTTTCGAAATTTTGCATTTTTCAGCTGTTCCAAAAAAGCATTGGAGTTTTAAAAATTCAATCTGCCCAGCATACTGTAGTGTAAAACACCTACCAGCCTGTGAAACGGAATCCCATTCGGGTGACGGGAACCCGTATTTGCCACTTTTGATGCGACTCTTCATTCCGGGGGACATTGCCTCGCCGTGCTCGGAAAAGAATGGCGGGTAGCCGCATAGACTAAAAATAACCGCTGTATTTTGTATGTCTGTAGTCTGCCCTGTAGTTTATAGTTTGTAGTCTACAAATATCTACTGGTAAAACTTCAGGTTTTCAAAAACCTGCTAAAATTCAAAAAATTTTAGTTTGTGAGAATCTCGTTTTATATTGCTTGTAGTTTGTAGTCTGTGGTCCAAAAAGCACGGCTATAAACTCCAAAACTATCGAAAACTCGTTTTTCGCTGAGATTTTTAGTTTTTTACGTCGATTTTGGTACACATAGGATAACGGGGGGGGCACTCAAACTTTTTATATGATAAAAGTATTTTTAAATAAGCTTTTTCGGGCTGTAAAAAACTCTTAGTATATTTTTCGGTCCTCTATCGAATGGCATTTTCAAAATTTCGAAAATATTCAAAACGCCGAAAATTCCCCCCCCCCCTGTTATCCTATGTGCTGCCCATAGTTTTCAAAAATAGTTTTTAGGCTATAAAACTTTTATAATACATTTTTTCGCGTTGTAAAAAAATCTCTTAGTATATTTTTTGATGTTCTATCGATTCGCGTTTTCAAAACATCGAAAATTTCGAAAATTTGACTTTCCCCCCGTTATCCTATGTGCTGCCCATGGATTTTGATCGATTTTTGTTTATTCGATAAAAAATTTCATTTATATTATTTCGGGCTGAAATTAATTTTCCTAGAGCAGTTTTCGACGCTTTATCGAATGGCGTTTTCAAAATACCGAAAATGTCGAAAATTTCGAAAATTTGGCTTTCCCCCCCCGTTATCCTATGTGCTGCCCATAGATTTTCCTCAATTTTTGTTTATTCAATAAAAAATTTCTATTACATTATTTCGGGCTGAAATTAATTCTCTTAGTATATTTTTCGACGCTCTATCGAATGGCACTCGCAAAATCCCAAAGTAATTGCAAATTTCATAATAATGAGTGCCCCCCGTTATTTTATCCCCCCCCCCGTTATCCTATGTGTACCTCGATTTTCACGAAATCGCCCGATTTTCGGCCATTTGTAGTCTGTAGTTTCGGGCTTAGACTACAAACTGCAAAATGGCTCCGACAATCCTGCAAACTGGCGAGAAGCCAAAAGCTTCGACGCCAGTTTTGGTGAAATTTTGATTTTTAAAGGGCCCTGCAAGGCAGATATCTCTGGCCCCGCCCCCCTTGCCTTGACTTCTTGGTCCCTTTAAAATCGTCTCGAAAGTAAGGCACTTACAGAATATACATAACAACGCCAATTGACCAGCAATCACACGATTTATCGTAGCCACCCGTACCCAGAATCTGAAATTTTCCGGTTTTCCGTTTTTTTTGGTCCAAATAACCTCTGCTAGCCTGCCCCTTCTAGTATACTCACCTCTGGTGCACAATAATATGGTGTGAAGCATGCGGTATTGAGCCCCTGTGGTTCACTCTCGTCTGTCCTCTTTGCAAAACCAAAATCCGTCAACTTCAGCACGCCGATCTTGCCCGGCTCGCTGCAAAAATTGGGTAGAAATCGACTTTATAATGGAAAAATCGAGTTTCCGGGCGCGAGCTAATCGATTACGGCATTAAACTGGCTCGAACCGGCGGAAAATGTTTGGTTTAGTCGATTACGCGATGAAAATTCGTGGAACTGATCAGGAAAATCGATTTTCTGGTTTCCAGGTAACCGATTACGCTAGGAAATTCGCTATATGTTGCTTACCTGTAGAGAAGATTCTCGGGTTTGATGTCTCGATGTGCGATATTCATTGAATGAAGAGAATTGACTGCCGAACAGATTTCATACATGATCTTTGCCGCCTCCCGTTCCGTAAATGCCAGTTGGCCGCGGTCCTGAAAAATTGAGGCTCAATCCATCCCAAATGGCCTCTGCTAGCTTGCCTTTTTCAATTTTGGATTCGTTGGCTACCAGGACTGATTAAAAAAATTCAATCGATCCTAGATGCTCTCTGCTAGCTTGCTTTTTTTGATTTTTCGGTGGGCCGTCTGCCAGCAAAGCTTTTAAAAAAATTAACCCATCTCAAATCGTCTCTGCCAGCCTACCTTTTCGTGTTTTAGGTTGGCTGGCTGCCAGAACCGATTTTGCAAAACTAAATTCCGTAAAATGATCCCTGCTGGCTTGCTGTTTCGATGTTTCGGTTGGTCGGCAGCCAGAACGGACTTTCAACGCAATCCATCCCAAATGGTCTTGGCTAGCTTGCCTTTTTCGATTTTTAGGTTGGCTGGCTGCCAGAAAGTGCCTTGAAAACGCAATCTTCCCAAATGGTTTCTGCTAGTTTGCCACATAATTTTTTTGGCTGATTGGCTTCCAGAACTGACTTAAAAAAGCTAAATCCATCCCAAATGGTTCCTGCTAGTTTGCCTGCCTAATTTTCCGATTAAATGTCCTCCAGAGTGCCCCCCTAAATGGGCGGGGCTTAAATACTGCCTTCTACGGCCCTTTAAAAGCACTTGAAATTGGCGAATGCCATTCAGAAAAGTGACGAAACGACAATTATAAAAATTTTGCTTTGATAAATTACCTGAATTCGCGTGAATAATTCTCCTCCCCTCATTTGTTCCATAACCACAAGAATACATGGCACTTCATTATACGTATTCTCATAGATATCCAATATACGAACAATATGCGGATGGGAGGAGGCCAGTTTATGGAGCAACACCTGCAAAATGGATGGCATTGAGAAGACTGGCAGGAGAAGTGCCGCTCAAAATTTGTAAACTGACCTCCCTCCTGGCCTTTGGTGTATCCCTCAGCACTTTGAGAGCATATTTGGCGCCAGTCTGTCGATGCTCACATTCTACCACTTTTCCGTTGATGCCGACGCCCAGCACCTGCAAACCGTCTCTGCTTGTTTGCCCTCCAGGCTACGTCTTTGGGCCAATTGGCTACCAGACGATCCAACAAAGCAAAAAAATATGGAATTCCTCAATGATCTCTGCTAGTTTGCCCCTATTTCCTCAAACTGGCTGGAAGTTCTTCGAACAACGTCAAGCAGTTCCGATTCCGCAAGGGGTCCCTGCTAGATAGCCTCAAATTTCGTGAAACTGACTGCCAGGAAGTCAGAAAATTGTATAAAACCTGAAAAATCTTTGAATTCCCCCATTGTTCTCCGTTAGTTTGCCCCTATTTCGTTAAACTGGCTGAAAATTTATCGAACAACGGCAAGCAGTTCGGATTCCACAAAAATTTCTGCCCGATCGACCTCAATTTCGGTTTGCTGGCTGTCAAAAGCCAGAAAATTTTCGAAAATTTGAAAAATCTCTCACTTCCCCAATGTTCTCTGCTAGTTTCGGGCTGACTGGCTGACAGTTTACCCAACAACGTCAAGCAGTTCGGATTACGCAATATTCTCTGCTAGTTTGCCCCAAATTTCGTAAAACTGTCCTCCAGACAACCAAAATCGAACTTTTTCAAATTCCCAATTGTTCTCTGCTAGCCAGCCCACTTGAAAATTGGGCCAACTGCCGAATTGACTGACCACTCGGCTTATCCTGTAGTCTTGTGTGACATTATGGCTGTGAAAGGCGTTGTTCATCTCCTTCTTTGGGGGCGTGGCTGCTTGACCTTGTTGATGTTGTTGTTGTTGGGCGGTTACGGTAGATGACGGCGTCTGCGAGGAGGGCAGCTGAGATGAGGGGGCTTCTTTCTGAAAGGAAACCAGTCAGAAAAAAAGGGTAAAAGCGGAAAACCCCCATGTTGTGCCCCCAGAAAAGAGAGAGTGGAATTGACAGTGTGATTAGTCATGGAAAATAACAATTACATGCCGCTCAACCCATCCCAAATGGCCTCTGCTAGCTTGCCATGTAAATTTTTAGACTGACTGGGTGCCAGATTAGCCTTTAAAATATCTCAACCGATCCCAAAGCGTCCCTGCTAGCTTGCCTGTAACATTTTTTGCTTACTTGGTTGTCAGTTTGAATTTTCAAGCAAAAATCAAGGCTTAACCACCCCAAACGGCCACTGCTAGCCTGCCATGTGAATTTTTAGGCAGTCTGGGTGCCAGATTAGCTTTTACAAAAATTTAATCCATCCCAAATGGTCTCTGCTAGCTTGCTTTCATGATTTTTCGGTTGTTTGGTTGCCAGATTAGCCTTTGAAATGACTCAATCCATCCCAAAAGGCCTCTGCTAGCCTGCCAGGTTGATTTTTAGGTTGGCTGAGTGCCAGTTTGGCCTATAAACTAGCTAAATTCATCCCAAATGGCCTCTGCTAGCTTGCCATGCTGATTTTTCGATGGCCTGGCTGCCATAAGCTTATTTAAACCCGGAAATTCGCGTTGAAATCAAAAAGAAGCATGCAATGGAGAGGGGATACGGTAGAGGGAGGGTGTTGTGTACGTGCTACACCAAATGACACGCACACAACAAATGACACCACAATACAGTATGATCACCCAAAAAAATGGATACCTTAGAATTGGGTGAGAGAAGAGGGGTTTCACTGGAAAAATGGGCGGCGTGCCAATTTATTAGAATTTTAGCTTTGTTAAAAATTTTTGAAAATTTTAAGTGTTAAAAAGGGTTAAATTTATGCCGTTAGCGAGGGGGAAAGCTAATTTTTTTTTATTTACGGCTAAAACGCCCTAAAAATCGATTTAATTGCCTTTCCGCCAGAAACGCGGGGGCCCGAATTACATGGCGTAATCGAACGCGATTTTCCGTATTTGGTGAGAAATGTGCACCCAAAAATTCCTAGTAATTTGATGGGAAGTATTCTATTCGTGTTTTTAGAAAATATAGCTGTACTTTAACCAGAAAAACCATCAAAAAATTTTGAAAAATTCTTCAAAAAGTCAAAATTTTGGTCGAAAATCGGCCGTTTTTAGTCGAAAAACGATTTTTTTTTGTGTTTGAAAGAAACTTTCTAAGGTTTGTAAGATTTGGAATAGTAAAAAACAATTTAGAAACACTTACAAACACGCCCCCCCGATAATGCCAAAGAACCGGGTGAATTAACTGGCGTAATCGATTGAAAAAGCTACTTTTTTGAAGATTTTTAAGCCGGATTTTTAATTTAATTTGGCTTCATGGGTTTATAAAATGCCCTAATTCATTAGAATTGATTTTAGATTTTTAAGGGACTATTTTTGCTATAAAATGCGTACCTTTTGAGCCCTTGTATTGGAAGTAGCGGATCGTTTTGATTGTTGCGATTCGGTATTTCCCATTCAGAAGAAATGATGACACAAAGCCATCAATTGAATCGATGAGGCAAGAGAGAGGCTTCGAAACCGGACAACCCTGAAATAACAGACAAAAATTGCGAAAAAAAAATCGAGAAAATTGTAATAAAACATTGAGAGTATCAAATCAGTTTTGGAGGCGCAAACTAGCCGAGATTATTGGGGAATTCCGAAGTTAGCGGTCGATTCAGGCGAATTGACTGTCAGAAAAGGGTAGAGAAGGGCGGAATCTGGCAGCCGATGAAGCCAACCATTAGCAAACTAGCAGAAATCATTGGGGAATTTCGAAAGTCTGTATGGTTCCGTGCAATCTGCCAGTCAAAGAGGCTAGCGATGGGGCAAATCAGCAAAGATAACTGGGGAATCTTGAAACTCCCAAAATTTTGGACTTTCTGGCAGCCGATGAAGGTAATCGTGAGCAAACGAGCAGGGATTATTGAGGAATTCCGAAGTTAGCCATCGATTCAGACGATTTTGAACTTTCTGGCTGCCAGTTTCTGCTAATCGCGGGCAAACGTTGAGAAAATCAGAAAATCTCGAAAGTTCGGACTTTCCGGCTGCCCCTTAAAACAACCAGAAAACATTGAGGAATTTCCGGGTTAACCAGATTTTTGAGTCTATTGGCAGCCAGTCCATCCAAATCCACGAAACAGGCATGCTAGCAGAGACCGTTTATCTGAATTTCACCTGATTTACTATAGAAAAGACAGAGATCGGTGGCCGGTCATTTCCAAAGATTGTTTGCGTCGCGCGCGCTACCTGCAACTACAGACTACAACTATTGCCGGAGAGATCAACGGGTTCCTCCTGCGATTGACAGATATGAAGAAATTCGAATCAACTCGCACTTAAAAACAGTTTTTCCAGGCTAAAAACTACAAAAAAACAGAAAAAAGAGGGAAAAAGAATTATTTTACAATAAAAATTCGAAAAAATACGATTTCCGTTGTCGTTTCCGGATACAAAAGCCAAATCCATGCCAAATGGCCTTTGCTAGCCGGCAATGTGAATTTTTGGTGTCATTGGGTGTCAGTTTGATTTTTCGAAGCAATATTAGAAACTCAGTCCATCGCAAATGGTCTCTGCTTGCTTGCCCTACGAGTTTTTTTTTTGGTTGGTTGGGCGCCAGATTAGTTTTTGAAAGCTACAAACTACAACGAGGCGGCGATTGCCGGAAAAGAGACGCTAAAACCCTATCAAAACGATGGTACGGTCAGGAAATCTGGGCTGCAAACCACAAAATCAGCATAAAAACCGGGGTTTTTCAGGGGCGCGCTGTGGAAAATCGATAAATAAATCGGCGGGCAGAAAGAGGAGAGGCAGACGGTTCAGAGGTCTGTGTCTGTGTCAAATGGCTGAGAAATATTGATGTGATTGGGAGGAGAAGAAAAGATTGGGGAAATAGAGAAGGAAAAGAGAAAAAAAGAACGGAAGGGGGAAGGTCATTCATTCTATTCACCATACAATGACACGCACACCCAATAAATGAAGGGGGAAAGAGAGAGAAAAAGAGGATGTTGTTATCTCTGTCTGACTCTCTCTCTCTCTCTCTCTCTCTCTCTCTCTCTCTCTCTCTCTCTCTCTCTCTCTCTCTCTCTCTCTCTCTCTCTCTCGCTCTCTCGCTCTCTCGCTCTCTTGCACTCTCTCACTCTCTATGTCTCGCTATCTCTCTCTGTCTATCTCACTCTCCCTCTCTCGCTCTCTCTCTCCGTGCTTAAAAACTACATCTAAAATCTTAAATTTATTAATTTCCGCGTGACTCTTCGAAATTATGCTAATTTTTGATCATTTTTGGCGGTTTTCAACGGAAAAAGAAGGCTTTTCGCACCAAAAAAAAAATCGATTTGACCTGGCTTCGACGCGATCCATGTTATTTTTCTTTCAAAAATGGCTTTCGAAAAGCTTGATAGGGTTGCAAGAGAAAAACATGAAAATTCCGAAATTTTTGGTGTTTGAAAAACTTTTAACCTCCAAAATTTAGCCAATTTCGCAAAAAAACCTTAGTAAACCCAAGAAAATAGCATAATTTCTAAAAACGGGCAGAACTTATTTTTTTTTTGCCTCATCTAGAGCTCGCGATTGAGGCAAAAATCAGAAATCCAACGCTTTTAGTTCAAAATATAGGGAAATCCATTTTTAAAAATTAACCTTGGCTTTTCCTAGCTTTTCTTTAATCCTGATTAATTCGATGATGTCATCATTCATCCAATTTTATCGAGATATTGAGCGGAAACCCGTATTTTCCGATGTCTAAACCTTTATCAAACCGGAAACCCCGAATTCCATAAAATTTCGGCAATTCAAGAAATTGTCAGGGCAAAACTGACACGTGCAGAATCTGCTATGTTCTATTTTGTCGATGCAATGGCCGTGAAGCTGTTAGATGAAGCCGCGAGAAGTCCCCAAAAACCCGCCATCTCTCCCTTTACACGTCAAGAGAAGCGCCTTGTAGCCAAAGGGGGAGAAATCGCTGTGGAAAAGTGCTATCAAAGCGCCAATTCTTGCCCAAAATACATCAAAAAATCGTAAAAGAAAATAAAAGCCAATTCCGAGCAAAAATATCGACTTTTCCAGCTGCTAGGCGTCGATCTCGATTCTTGCTGGTTTCAGCCCTTTCATATGCTCTTTCCGGGGTTTCCGAAGTTTACACAGGACACCCGAAAACTGTGCGCCCACGCCAATTGCTTACGTCATGGAAATCGGACCAGCGAAAATTTTTCTGCGGTCAAATCCTATCCTATAAGCGAGAAAAGTATGTTTGTTTTCTGTGCAGACGATTTCTCGGCCGTCAGGCCGAATTTCAGGCTGATTTTTGGCATGGAGGTGGAGAAACACGTTCTCTTTATAAGGTTTTTTTAGTTTTTCGAAATCCCTTCATTTAACGATTTTACAAGCGAAATAGTGCAAAACCCTTAACATTTTGGCCGCAAAAAGGTTTGTTCAGAGGCTATCTCGATTGCCCGACGGAGTTAGACTCTGATTTTTGGTGGGTCGATGGATAAGGCAAATATCTCGATACCATTTTTGGGATTTTTGTTAATCATTTAAAATAAGGTTTTTATAAGCATTTTTCTAAAAATTCCTTAACAAAATGGCCAAAGTGCCGTGGTGTCCGGGCCATAACTCGAAGCCCAGATGGAATTTCGGGCTGTAATTTGGGGCACTTATGTAATAGATGGTGGGGATCACGCGCAACTTATTATTTTGACAAATTTTTGGCAGTTTCAGACCAAAAAAGCGAATTTTGTAAAGTGACCAGAAGGCATCCCTCCCAGCTCTCATTTCGCTAACGCTGCCCGGGGCGGACCCGCCCCCAGGACACAAGAGGCCTTTGCCGCCCCCCGCTCCATATG